GCATGTTAATGTGCATGCGTATTCACATCCACACTTGAATAAGTCAGGTCAGCCCTTTAGACTTCCAGTCCAGTGGCTAGTTCATTATGCTGAAGCCATTTTAACCTGCAAAAACAGCCTGTCAGTGCAGCGAAGCATCTTTGCCCCTATTTCAGCAGATCGGCCCAGTACAGCAGACAAACTCTCATTCCCTGTCTTCCAGAGTCAGCTTATACACATGCTGAATTATTAACCTGGCTAATTTGGGAAATCATGAATCTTTCAAAATACGGAGGCCCCCATTTTGCATTTTCCTATGAAAACAGCATCAACATTTCATTCAGAATGAAAGAATACCGCAGGAGGGAAAGGGGGGGATGAGGAAAGAGTTGGAACGACAGAACTGAGACGTGTTGACAGTGTGTAACTGCTTTTTATAGATGTGACACCTGAAGAGGAGAGTAAAAGAGACACTCATAGCAGATGAATTATGGGAATATGCAAGCATGGGAATGAAGGCCCATTAATGAGTTCTAGCTGATTGAGGAAAACTGTCTTACTCTCAGATGGTTGAAAATACTTTTCCAATTTTTGGGGTGTTATTCCTTGTTAAAAATAAATAAATAAATAAAGACGACAATGAAGTGTGCTTAACTGTATATTTTTAAAAAACTGTACTTGCATATAACATAATATTAATGAAATAAAAAGCCAATTAAGAGTACTTAAATAGAACACACTTTCATTACTATATTTCTTTACACACTTAAGTACACTTTTAAAAAGTACACTTTGTAATAATGTCAAATTATTATTGGAGAGAGAGAGAGAGAGAGAGAGAGAGAGAAGAAGAAAACTGTGCAATATCCTTACCTTTAAATGTAGGTTCACTAAGTTCTATATCCTCAAAGGTACATCTTTGTAACTTATCTATCTCTCAAAGGTTAATGTTATACCTTATATGAATAAAGTTCTTACTAATATGCACCTTTTGGGGTTAGATAAGGTACAACGATATACTTTTGAGGCTACTGCCTAAGTAATAAGTTGTTGTATCACTATATGTACATATTCTGCACATTTTATTCTGACAATGTGAAATGCTGTACTATTTCTTAATAGCCTTAAAATAAATGTGTTGCCCCTGTCAAAATAGAGCAGCAGCAGCAGCATCAACGCATTAACAACTAGGTGTTCAGTTTGGTTCTGTACACAAATTTATTTAAAATGTAGTTGTCAGTACTTGTGTTGTTTAGAGGAAACTTGGTTGTAGAATGAGGTTGTCACTCATGTAAACAACCAAACTCTGTGTGTTCAGAACAGTATTGTACACACTTTATTTTGCTACAGTGCACATGTGGCCTTAATTTAACTTAATCAAAAAATATCTACTTCCAAGCCTTTTAATTCTGAGACTGGAAATACAGGAAGTCCTTAAGTATGTCTATTCTATTCAATTCAATTCAAGTTTATTTGTATAGCGCTTTTTACAATACAAATCGTTGCAAAGCAAATTTACAGAAAATTAAGTTTCTACAATATTTAGTAGTAGCTTATCAGCGGTGACTGTCAGTTTATGTACATATGGCAGAAATCTACGGAAAAATCAATTAAAGACAATCAAACAGACGATGAACACTATTAACAGCAATTATTATATGATGCAATCAAACTTACAGCAACATTTGGTAGTTCTGTATTTTGTTTCAGTGTTGGCATCATCTGAGGTCTTCTGAGGGGTTTGCATCATCTCTTCTGAGTTTGGGAGCCAAATACGAAAAAGCTCTACATCCTTTAGTGGACTTTGCTATCCTAGGTACTACCAAAAGTCCAGAGTTTTGTGACCTTAGGGAGCGTGATGGATTGTAGCGTGGTAAAATACTAGTTAGATACGCAGGAGCTAAACCGTTAGGGGCCTTGTAGGTAAGTAATAATATATTGTAACTGATACGGAACTTAATAGGTAGTCAGTGCAGAGACTGTAAAAATGGGGTAATATGATGATATTTTCTTGACGTGGTAAGGACTCTAGCCGCTGCATTATGGACTACCTGTAGCTTGTTTATTGAAGATGCAGGAGAACCAGCTAGCAGTGCATTACAAAAGTCCAGTCTAGAGGTCATGAATGCATGAACTAGCTTTTCTGCATCAGAAACAGGTAACATGTTTCGTAGCTTGGCAATGTTTCTGAGATGGAAGAATGCTGTTTTTGTAACATGGGAAATATTATTTTCAAAAGACAGGTTGCTGTTGTCACGATACACTTGGGGAAGGAAGGAACGAGGAAACACAGGAGAATACTTTAAGTGGGTCTTTAATCCAACAAACAAAGGTTTACACACACAGGAACTCAGGGATGACATTTAACAACAGACGGGAAACAAGGGTCAGAACACACTATAAATACACAGACACCAATGGGACACACCTGGGAACAAATTAACTTTCTTCTCCTCAGATTCCCCTCTAGGATCGGGGTGAAAGGCGCGGCTGGCAGGTTTGCCGTTGCGGTGACCGACGGGCTTGGGTCAATGGCGGCCGGCGGGCTTGACAACGGCACGGCCGGCTGGCTGGAGTGAGCCGCGTCCGGCGGGCTCATCTTCGGAGCGACGAAACGTGTGGCGGCTTCTATGCCCCGGGGGGAAAAACAGGAAAACAAAAACTATTAAAAAAGGCGGAAAACAAACACGGGGGAAAGGACGCTGCTTACTTTCAGTTTTGGTCTGCTGTTCTGTCACGATACACTCGGGGAGGAAGGAACGAGGAGACGCAGGAGAATACTTCGAGTGGGTCTTTAATCCAACAAACAAAGGTTTACACACACAGGAACTCAGGGATGTCATTTAACAGCAGACGGGAAACAAGGGGCACCAATGGGACACAACTGGGAACAAATGAACTAATTAATCAAACACAGCTGGACACAAATGATAACCAATGAGGACAGGTCACAGGAAGAACCAAATAAGTGCAAACAGGAAGATACATGTGACAGATTGCCCCCCTCCAGGACGGCGCGTCCCGCGCCGTAACAGTACCATCGGGGAGGGGGGCGGGCACCCTGGAGGCTGGTGCAGGACTGGAACAGGGCGGATCAGGAAGCCATGGCAGAGCAGGGGACTCAGGGAGCCATGACGGAGCAGACGGTTCAGGGAGCCATGGCGGAGCAGGGAGTTCAGGGAGCCATGGCGGATCAGGGGACTCAGGAGGCCATGGCGGATCCTTCGTGGCCTTAGGTGGCTCGGCCACGGGTATATGCCCCCCCAAAAAAAACATTTCCTAGGGAAAACTAGGAATCCTGGGGGGCGATCTGGAGGGTGCTCTGGAGAAGCGGGCACTTGAGGGCGCTCTGGAGGGGATTCAGGGACTGGAGTCCTCCTTGGGCTAAGCACGGGGACAGGAGCCTTCACTGGGCTAAACTCGGGGACAGGAGCCCTCAC